TCAAATATGATGGTGAAATTAGGACATTTCCAGATAAGCAGAAATTAAGGGAATTTGTTAAAACTAGACCAACCTTACAAGAGATGCTAAAGGTAGCCCTTTGGACAGAGGAGCAACAACAACCAACAAAAATTGACCATTAACACATATGATGACATAACCCAGAAACCAACCCAGCTATGGAAATATCCAAACTAAATAAGCTACAAGATTTTAAACAGGGAACTAGAGACATCAATTGACAAATGAGGACAACTACAAATCCAAAAGGGAAAAAACTGTGTTGTTACAGAACTTCTAAATGCTAGGGAAGTCAAGACAACTATAAGATGGAACAGACTATTCTAAACTTGGGAAGAAAACTATACATATCACAGGATAACCTCAAAGAAAAATGATAAACCTTCACATCAAAATAAAAAAGAGGACCAGCACAAATATTTAGCCAATACTAAAACAACAGCAACAAAGGAAGTGATAATATGATTCATAATCAAAACGAGCTCATTACACAAATTATAAGGAACAAAGAAATTGAAACCATGAAAAAACACATAACAAAAATGACAACAACAAACTCACACTTGTCGATAATTACGTATCTGGCAAGGGACTTATCTTTAAGATTTATAGAAAACATCAAAGCCTCAACACCAAAGGAATTAACAATCCAATTGAAAAATGGGCAGGACACATGAACAGACACTTCACCAAGGAGGATATTCAGGTGGCCAGTTTATACAAGAAGAGATGCTCAGGATCATTGGCCATCACAGAGATGCAACTAAAAACAATTAGATACGATCTCACCCCAACTCTGATGGCAAGGTTCAATGAGACAGAAAAGAACAAATGCTAGTGGGGATGTGGAGAGATTGGGACTCTCATACACTGTTGGTGGGACTGTGAAGTGATACAATCACTGTGGAAAGCAATATGGCGATTCCTTAGAAAGCTGGAATTCGAGATACTATTTGACCTAGCAATCCTATCACTAGCTATAGATCCTAGAGAGGTGAAAGCCAGGACAGAAACAGATATATGCACACTCATGTTCATTGCAGCACTATTTACAATAGCAAAAGATAGAAACAACTTACGTGCCCACCAATGAAAAGAGTGGATGACCAAACTATGGTTCTTACACAAAATGGAATGCTATGCAGCACTAAAGAATAATGCAGAGTCTGTAAAACACTGCATAACACAGATGAACTTGGAGGACATTATGCCAAGTGAAGTAAGGACAAATATAGTATTAGTTTGTTGTTGTGGAGGGTCAAGGCAAGGTTTATATATGGAGGGAAACATTGTTGGTTGCTGCGGTGGGAGAGGAAGGGAGTGAACAGTGCAACAACAACAACAAAAATGCATTGACCCATGCTCACTTTAGTTTTGTGTATTTCACTGTACATAAATTATATTTCAATAAAATGCATTTTAAAAAAATTCATTGAAAATAAAAAGATACCACACAAACAGGAAACATTAGAAAGATGGAGGGACTAGATTAATATCAGATTAAATAGGCTTTAAAACAAAGAGTATATTGCCAGATATAAAGAACATTTCATAATGATGAAAATATGAATAGACTAGGATAGCATAACAGTAACAGAGCTTCAAAACAAACGAAGAGCACACTGACAAAATTAACGATACTAAATATTATTAATTAATCTATAGAATTTATTCTAATTTCACCAACTGTCCCACTACATGCTTTTTTTTTTCTGGTCTGTGACCCCATCCAAAATCCAACAGTAAGTTCAGTTACCATGTCTCCGTAGTTTACTTAGTCTGACTTTTACTACCCTGACACTGATAAAGAGTACTGCCCATTTATACTGAAGAATGCACTTCAATTTGGATCTGTCCTGATGTTTTCTCAGAATTAGATTGAGGCAATAAGGTTACTCGGGTTTACTTCTTTTCATTTCCACCCTTTTCTGAGTAGCTTTTATTCATTTGTAATACACTTAGGTTCCCTGGTTACTATTTTTATTTCATTTTGGGTTGGCAAAGATCCTGATTGACCTTAATTATTCAATTAATTGTGGGATATATAAAACATGACCAGGTTCTAAGGGTCAGATTACACAAAAAAATACATACTCAGAGAAGTTTTGCTCTCTCTTCATCCCTAATGCCCTTCTGACACCCATCCCCCATAAATAACCAATGTCATTCCTTTCTGGTTTATTCTTTGTGTATTATTTTTGCACAAATAGCATATATTTATTTTTTCTAGCATGTGTATATGTTCTAGATCCTGTTCTTTCTTTCCAAAATGGTAAATTACAGGTACTCTTTTGCACTTTTTTTCCCCACTTAACAGTATATCCTGAAAATTGTTCTATGTCTGTTCACATAGATCTTCCTCATTTCTTTGTACAGCTGTGAAACACTCCATTGAATGAATGTACCAGAGTACACATAGCCATTCCCTTATGTATGGGGAATAAAGTTATTTCCAATATTTTGCAATGATAAACAATGTTCCTATGGATATCCTTATGCATATATATTTTCATAATTCTGAGGTATATTTTCAAGGTCGAGTCCTAGATGTGGAATTGCTAAATCAAAATAAATACATATATATAGTTTGATCCTTGATTG